AAAAAGAAAAAAGTAATAGTGAGAACAAAGAAAAGAGTATGGGAAGAGCAGTCACTAAGTAAATGAGAGATATGTATTATAAATGGTAAGATAAAAAAAGAAAAAAAAAGGATATATATATATATATATATATATATATATATATATATATATATATATATATATATATATATATATATATATATATATATATATATATATATATATATATATATATATATATATATATATATATATATATATATATATATATATATATATATATATATATATATATATATATATATATATATAGATTATTTTTTTTCTTTTTTGCTAAGTAATGTTTAATTCTATTTTATTATTTGATTGTATTATATGTTTTTATGGATTACAATATTAAATTTCATTGGCTTTAATATTAATAGTAAAAGGAATGTTACATTTAGATTTATCGATAAAAAAAAGTTATGTTTAAATTTTAATAAATTCAATTATAAAATATAGTACACGAAACATTTATTTTGATCTTTTTTTCTTAAATATTATTAATTGTTGTCTAATAGTAAAAGAGATGTTACAACTTTATTTGTTCAAGATGAATAACAATGTGAATTCCTATTGATTGCTCCACATTTGTCTCTCGTATTCATCATTTTATTAAAAGAAATGTCACAATAATATTTGTAGTAATTTAATTTTACTGAATTCAATTACAGTATAAAATATAATTCTTCAAGTGAAAATAAAAGAACAATAACTCACAAATAAAATTAATGGTTCGTCGGTTGTGGATCCGACTAAGGCGTGCTGAGATATGTGCCGCCAAAATTGATGGATCTCGTTCACATTGAGGGGGGCGAAAATTCTCTTATGGTAGTGGCATCCATGGTTCAATGTCAATTTTAAGTTCAGCTTCTATAATCATGTTATGAAGGATAATGCATGTTTTCTTTGTGTTACACATATCTTCTTTTGACCAATAGCGGATGAGTCCTTGGGTTATATCCCATCTACTTTGTAAAACACCAAATGCTCGCTTCACATATTTTCTAACTGATTATTATTTTGCCGCAAATAATTTTTCTTTTGCAGTGGTGGGATGAGCAATGGTTTGAATAAGAGTTGCATATTTTGGGTAAATACCATCAGTTAAGTAATAACTCGTCATATATGAACGACCGTTCACCGTATAAGGAACAGGAGGCATTCTACCATGTATCATATTATCAAAAAGTGGAGAATGATCAAAGACATTAATATCATTATTTCCACCTGACATGCCAAAAAAAGAATGTCAAATCCATGTATCATGGTATTCAACTACTTCTAAAATTAATGTTGGTTTGTCGGGGTGACCCTTGTGTGTGCATTGCCAAGCAGTTGGACAATTTTTTCATTGCCAGTGCATAAAATCTAAAGATCCAAGCATACCTGGAAAACCTCGTGATTCACCTTCTTGTAGAAGACAGTGAATATCATGTTCATTTGGTGAACGCAAGTATTGTTCTCCATATAGTTCGATTATGGATGAAAAAAACTCTCTTAAAGTTTCGTTACCAGTTGCCTCCCCGATCTTTTAATATTCATTGTAAAAATCAGCAGATGCCCCATACGCAAGAACCGGAATTGCAGTAGTTATTTTTTGAATAGACGATAAGCCAAGACGACCACGTGCATCTCTCTTTCAGATGAAGTATGTGTTATAATTTTAAAGATCATTTTTAATATAAAAAACAACTTCCTGCGCTTCCTAAAACGCCTGCAAAAATAAGAAAATGGAAAGTACAATTTTCAGGAAAATAATATTTCCTTAATAGTTTCTGACTTTCTTCGCGATCACGATAGATATATTGTCGCTGATACGGTTGTTCCTCATATGCCAAAATTATCCCAAGAATATAATTAATCATTTCTTGAGTTTCTTTCTCCGAAGAGCCTCATCTGAAGAGGAGGATGAAGATGAAGAACTAGATGATTTAATGTATTCAAATTCATCTGAAGGAAATCATCCAGATGACAAAACCATATAATACATTGTCTATTTATTCTGACTCTAGATTCGAACAACTCTCTCGATTCACCCAAATTAATTTTAATTTTAATTTTTTTTGTTTCTTCCTTTGTTACATGTCAGGTTACAATTTCCGCGCACCTCAAACGGGATATGAATTGCTTCCATCTGGCGAATACTCCAAAACACCTATGATATGCCACTATTTTGTTCCACATGTGGTAGAAATCATTACACCAACCAATGTTGGGAAGCACCGAAAGCGAATAATTTCTTCGATAATACCAACATAGGTTATTGGAACACATACACCAACACGTACGAACAGAGCGTTCTGAGCCAAGCTTTCAATGATTTTCAACATCGGGAGCCGCAATTTGATGATTTTCAAACCTATTATGCAAGGCCACGAGAACCCACTATTGAGGAGTGTTATTTGAAATCCATCCTTGAAAATTTTAGGAAATCCACTCAAGCATCTACCCAAAGACTGGAAATACAATTGGAAGAGTCAATTCCAAAGGTTTCCTGAAAATATTCCAGACGATATCGAGAATTGTTGCAACAAAGAAAATTCGTCTGAAACTTGTAGTGAGAAAAATTCTTCAGACCTAGAAAATAGTGTCGATGAGAGGGAGAAATAAATTATGAAGACGCCGAAAGATGATGAATCTGAGAATGCAATCGAGCTAAACTCCATAGATGTCTCGGAACAAGAGAAGAAGGAGATGGATGTGGTTAGTGCAAATATTCAAATTGAAGATCTTATCGTTGTACCTGATGTGGTTTTGAATGCATCAATAGTGGTTGATGAGAAGGCGAATGCGTTTGAGGTGGATGTTATACGCAGACTTGAGGTTTTTGTGTACCGATTTGATGGAGCGACTGATGAACATCCCATCTTGGCTTCGTACCGATTGATTACAACGAAAAAAAGACTACAAGCTAAGGTGGACCCTGTGACATATTGCAATGCTATCCTTGCCTTGGTTGCAATTGAAGTTGTAGAGCACATTAATGGATGCTCAATTTACAATAATTTAGATCGGACATAATAATTTTAAGAAGCAAAGTCTGGCTGAAGACTTAAAATTTAGCGTTTCCCGGGAGGCAACCCGAGCATTTATTGTTTTTTTCGTTTTTTTTTTCTCATATTTTTAGTGATTTTTTTTTAAAGTTTCCTAGAAATATGTAAGCTTGCAATCTAATAATTTAATCATGTTTGAATTTTTAGGTCAAAAACAGGACACAAAAAGCAAGACGGTCGTCCGAAAATCAAGCCAAAACTCTAGACGTTCGTCCGAGAAAGTTACAACTAGTTGTGAATGTTCGGAAATTGAGACGGTCATCTCAAAAACAGTGCAAAAGGTGAGACGGCCGTCCGGAACACCCCTGGAGAATTTTTTATTTATTTTTTTTTTCGAAAAATTGAAAAAAAAAAGTTTGCTTGAAAGATGAAGAGATGGAGGAGTGCAACGCGTGGAGGACGTTCCGACTAATCAAGGTGTATTCTATCCTTAAACTTTGTTTTAATTACATTCAGGATAACGCAAAACTTTAAGTTTGGGGGTGGCAAAATATTTTTTATGTGCTTTATATGTTTTAGATTGCATGCTATAGGATATTTTTTAAAACAACTTTTTATGTGCTTTATATGTTTTAGATTGCATGCTTTAGGATTTTTTTTTTCTTTTTAGTCGTTTTCATATATTTATTGTTTTCTTTAAAAAAAATGTTTGAGTTGAATGCATCGATGAATTATGATGAAGAAAGATGGCCAATGTTTGATGATGATATTACTTGTTTTGTTGTAGATATACTTAAATTTTGGCGAGCTTTCGATTCAAAGTAATTTCGGAGTGAGACATTATTGAGAATCATGAATTATGTGTTGCTTTTGTTGAAAATTTTGTTTTTCAAACGTGGAGCTAATTTATGAAATATCATATGATGTTCGTTTTTAGAACTCAACTTTGGAATTTGCAAAGTGAAGTATCGAGTCGTTGAGTGATTTGGGATATGATTTGTGCGTTATTTGAACCATCTAAGCCTTTCAAGCCTATCTTTTTATCCAAATTATCCTTAGAACCTATATTTGGGCCTCAAAGAAAATGAGTTATTTCTTTTAGCCAATGCGTGTAAGGTAGAGTAGATGGAGATTCTTGAAAAAAATCCCTTGGAGTTTTGTTGGAAAATTTGTTACGTTTTTCTTTTTCTCATAAAAAGAACGAAGAAGAAGAGAACTAGAAGGGAAAAGGAGGACATGCGCAAATATTCCAATAAAAACTGGAACCATACCTCAAGAGCAAAAGTGGAGACTTTTGAACTCTAGATAATCGAGTAGGATAATAAGTCATTAGAGGTGAATAAGCTATTCCAAAAAGTCAAATCTTAAAATTTCGGCGAAAACACCTCGATTAAAGAAGGAAAAAAAAGCATCATGATCAGTGCAACTCTTTATTCCATAATGAGAATCAAAAGGAGAAGAGTAGCCACTTATATACCCATATTTTCTACCTTGCACCAAAGAGCCCAACAATTGAAAGCCAAAAAGTCTCAATGATCCCAATAGCTCAATTATTCGAGAGTAGAGAAATTCGGTGAGTCTTTGGAGTCTAATATTACTATGTAAGTATAAATTTTCTCTATTTTTAAATTACAAATACTGGATGCTTAAAGCTTGTAAATTATTTTTGGTTCTTGGCAATGGTGATCAGTTAACTATTGTTGAATTTAAAGCTTGTAAATTTTTGAGAAGTCCCATAACAATTTTAAACTTGTAAATTTTTAACCTATGTGATCATTTATTGATGCCCATGGCGGTCAGCCTCTTGGCGAACTGAAGGGATGGGTTGATGTGGCCTTGTGCCGGAAATGTTACTAACAGCCTCCATGATTGTGTGTGTGTGTGTGAATTTACGTGCGTGTGCGTGTGAGAGAAAGAAAGAGAGAGGTTGAGAGAGATGAGGATTGGAGAATCACTATGCTAATTGCTATGTATAGAAAGGAATTGTGGGAGTTTGTGGTTGTGATTTTGTTGATTAGTAATTTTTTTTTAGTTGGATTAATTTCATGGAGTAGTAAGCATAAAAGTCAAGTTTAATTTGTAAACATAGATAGGGTTTAGAAAGTATGACGTTTGAGATGACGAAGATTACGGATATAATAAACGTAAGACAAACTGTCATCTTGAAGAAGAAATTTGTGTGGACAATAGTTTGATACTTTGTTTAGTGTCAGATATATCATTGATGCACACATCTTAAGGTAAGATAGTACAAATGAGTTTAGGTCTGTTTAAAAAATTAAAATACCCCCATTGCATTTTAGTATATTCTAATTTCATATTTAATTTTGTCAATCATTCAATTTTGACCTCTACTATAATTTTGACTCTAAGTTTGACCGTCGTCGGTCGGCCGCTAGGGGTGTTGATTACCAAGATTAAATCGTGTCTGAACCATTGTAGAAATCGCAAACAGCAAACGATAAACAACAGGCGATGCCTTCAAACATCAATCGATCTCCAAATAGCAAATAAAAAATGGTAAACTTGTTCCACAAATCATATAACAAACAGAAGTTTTTAAATTGCAAACGCTTGGAAGACTCAAAATATGGCATGCTCGATGTAATTTTTGTATAGGGTTTGGTATTAATGGAATTGATTTTCCGGGGCTAGAGAATTTGGGATTTGAGATTTTTCGGAACCGTTATCTGATTTGGTAACAGATGGGTCAAATGAAAGGGGAAGAAAAATAAGGGATATTATTTTCAGAATTTATTTTTGCTTAAATCAGTAGAGGTAATTTTCACGCATAAAAAATAATAAATTTACTAAAAATTGAATCTTATTAGTTGAATTTATACACATATAATAAAGGGGTAATGAGACAAAACCCCCTCATTAAGAAAAATATTAGAACTAACCACCCCTCATTATTTTTAATAAGTCAAACCCCCTCCATTAGTGTCATACCAATACTATCCTCACATTTTGTATTTGAAATCAGCCCCCCACCATCTGTACCTGAACTACGGAATTCATATCAAATATTCATGGGAAAAAAAATCTATCCCCCCTAAATCACGGCAATATGTAGAATATCATCCCAATAATTCGCTAAAATCTGCCCATGATCTATGGCCTTCGGTGGAACCCTAGTTTTCTTCATTTGTTGGAAAAAAAATCACAAACGTGTGAATCGAGGAGAAGCAGACACAAAAACATGGTGAAATCAAAAAAATCGAATAAAGGTAGGCTGCTATGAAATCCGTTTTTCCTACAACATATAATTAGATTTCTCTGTTTTATGTCATAATACGACATATTTCCATTTTTTTTTTTGTTTTCAATTTCAACGACTATGAAGACTGCAAATATTCATCTGTAGTTCACTAAAAACTTCGTAGTTCACTATAAACTTCGTAGTTCACTATATTGTTGCCAGAGTCAACTATAAAATCGGATAGTTCACTATATTTTTTCCAGAGTCAACTATAAAAATTAGATAGTTAACTATAATTTTTACGATGTCAACTATAAAAAAATGGTAGTTAACTATATTGTTGCCAGAGTTCTACAAAAATTGGATAGTCAACTACAATTGTTCCGATGTCAACTATAAAAAATTGGTAGTCAACTATAGTTTTCCATTAATTCACTATATTATATTTCAATTTAAGATACTATGGTGTTATAAAATGAGATGAGATGTAGAAGAAAAGATAAAGTATTGAGAAAATATAGAGAAACTAAAGAGAAAAAATGAAACAGACGAGAACAGAGGAAATGAGGGAAGAGAAAGGAGAGAGAGAGAAGAGAGAGAGAGGAGAGAGAAGAGAGGAAATTGTGGAAGAGAGAGAATAGAGAGAAGATAGAAGAGAAGAGAGAGAAGAGAGGAAATTGTGGAAGAGAGAGACGAGAGAGAATAGAGGAGAGAGGAGAGAGAAGAGAGGAAATTGTGGAAGAGAGAGGAGAGAGGAGAGAGGAGAGAGAAGAAAAATAATAAATGAAAAACACGTCAAAAAGGACGGTTGAGAAGAGAGGGGGGGAGAGAGAGAAAGAGTGGGGGAAGAAAGGACAAAATTGAAATAATAAACACGTGAGGGGAGTCTCACAATTCCTAATGTTAATTTTAGATTTCTTTACAAATGGTAAATATTAAAATGGGCCTGGACTCTATTATTTTGTGTATTGAGGGGGTTATCCCTCATTTTCCCTATAATAAATTGCCACTCAACAATTATGGATATAAACGTAACAAATTTGTCATCTTAAAGGGCAAATTTGAGTGGACAATAATAGTTTTGTCAGATATATGATACAATCACACAACCGACAGCACACATGTTAAGGTAAGGTATTAGTAAACAAATTCTTTTATTTTTTATTTTTTTATTTTATATTTTATATTTTATTTTTATTATTTATTTGTTGAGAAATGCCAAATTTTAGCCAGCCTCGTCACTGAATTTAGGAATTAAGTACTTCAAAGATAAAAACAAAAGGATTGTCGAGATATGTGTAAATGATCATTTACATTCTTTTAACAATCTTCATGAGTAAACATATAATTCCATCAAGCCAGTAAAATATTATCATATGTTTGGCTTCTCATATTTAACATGTCAATATAAAATACAGCAAACCAATAAAATATTAAAATTTGTACACTCTTGTACTTTGTGGTCATTTGTTATTACAAAGTATTTTTACAATTATATTAAATATTAATTACTATATTTATATTTAATATTAATTATACCAAAAGTTTAAAACTTATTATACACCAATTATACTAAAAGCAAAAATTAAATTTTACTGTTATGTGTTTAAAATATTAATATTAATAATTAAATTTATAAATTTCTATTTAATTAATTTTATTAATTGTAAAAAATAACTTTATATTATCAATAGTCTATTAAATAAATAAAAGCTAAAACTATTTTAAATTTCTTACATTAAATTATTAATAGGGCAAAATACACTTTACCCCCTTGTACTATGCCCACGTAACACTTACCTCCTCGTATTATGAAAAATACACTTACCCCCTTATTTTAATGGTCAACCTATTTGACTCTTAACGGTGTTAGTAGTAAAATACATTTAATATATTTTTAACAATCCTTACTAAATGACACATTTTTTTTATTTAAAAAAATATTACATGTACTGTGAATAAATTAAATAAATATTTAAGATAATAATATTTTTAAATTTTGATTAAATAAAAAAAATATTATTACTTTTTAATAATTCATAAGAAATGACACCTTATTTTTATTAAAAAATATCTTTTCATTGTGGATAAATATATTAAAAAAATATTTAAAATGTATAAATTTTTAAATATATAATTAAAATATTTACTCATTAAATATTTGTATTAAAAATTGTAAGTCTACAGTAATATTTTTTAACGATATATGCTAATGATTTATTTTATTTATTTGTAACATCAAAATTCACTTAAGCCTTTTACATCTAGGATTCATTATAGGGGGCAACTAAAACAAATCCCAATTTTTTCTCACTTCAATACCTCCAAGTTTAAAACCATTTTTTATAGAAGTTTTTACAACTTTTTTCTTAGTTTAAAACCATAAATAAATAAAATTGTTAGCAAAGTACAAAAACGCCCTTCATCAACCAAAATATAATTTATACAAACAATTTTTTTATTCCTCACTTTAATACCAAGGAAAAAAAGAAAAACAAATCATCTCTTCTTCTCCCCAAACTCAAATCCCTTAAACCCTATCTTCTTCATCTTCTTAAATCCTCCAAAACATCTCCAAATTTAAAAAATCAAAACCTCACAAAACTTATAAAATGGAGTTATAAGACAATAATATGATAGTATATATGGAAAGAGAACCCATTAAGGTATGTATCCATGTTTTTTTTTGAGCTTCGAAGTCGATTTTGAAGTTTTTGGGTTGTGAACCCGCCGGCAATTTTCGACACATACAGGTCGATTAGTGTTTTTCGACACATACCTGTCGAAATTAGGAGAATTTTCGACAGGTACGTGTCGAAAATTGTTTTTTTTTTCTAAACATATTTTTCGACACGTTGGTGTCGAAAATTGACCAAAAAATCGACATGTATGTGTCGAAAATTGCCGGCGGGTTTCCAATAGTGTTTTACGACACATACCTTCGAAGCTCAAAAAAGACATCGATACTTACCTTAATGTGTTCTCCTTCCATATATACTACTATATTATTGTCTTATAACTCCATTTTATAAGTTTTGTGAGGTTTTAATTTCTTTAGTTTTGAGATTTTTTAGAAGGGTTTGTTGTGAGAAAGAAGAAGGAAGAGGTTGAGGGATTTGTGAAGAAGAAGATGGGTTTGAGGGATTTTGTGTGTTTGTATTGAAGAAAGAAAAATAAGATTTTTAATATTTGTATGGTATTTATTTTCATTAAGGGTACTTATGTCATTACTTATTTATTATTCAATTTTTATTTTTTTGGTATTGAAGTGAGAAAAATTTTGGATTTGTTATAGTCATTCCCTTCATTATACGGAATTTAATGTTACAAATAAATATTAAAAATTCAATGTACACAATGTTTAATGAGTTAAATAATTTAATCTTGAATATGAAAAATTATAGTTGCTAAATATTAATTTTTAATATAAATATTTAACAAGTAAATTATATTTAATTCAAAATTAAAAAAAAAAAATAATTGTTATCTTAAGTATTTATTTAATATATTCATAGTACATGTAATATTTTTTTAAATAAAGAAAATGTGTCATTTAG